GGGGAGGGTTGTGGAATTATTAGTCAAGAATTTACAGAGGTCTCAATTCCTGGAAATCTTATGGTTGGGACTTCAGATGTAAGTAGTTTGTCACTAAGAATGCCATTGTAAATCAAGGTGCTTTATGCGAAACATCTATCAAGTCTAAAGGATGATTGTGATTTTAGTACCTAGAGTGTATCTTGTTTCCAGATGCTTATAGTGTTTGACTTATATGAAATTTTTCTAATTGCAAGAAGAAAATATGATAATGGAAGGTATTTATCAGTTTCTTTTGTTTTTGATTCCTTACAGGCTCTATTGCCAAAACCAGCCAGATGATTATTTTTGCACTGGAATGTTAAGTTTGGCTTTAATAGATGAAGGTCCTGGCTCACAGAGTTTCTATGATATTAGGATCATTTATGTTTAGAAATACTTGTTCTTTTACGCGTGTGTATACGATACATACCTTAATGCCTTCAATTAGATAACCTGATGTAAATTTAAAGTAAGTTTGTTGTATCAAAGTATTGTCACTTGGGCTTTGTAATTATCAACGTTTGATCGTGGGAAAAAAGGGTCATGGCAGTTTAGATATATTTATTTATTAGCTTTAAAACTTCAAATTTCTGCATAATTATACATTCCTCGCACAAAAGCCACACATGCTAATTTTCCTGAGTCGACTTGAAAGTTGCATGACAAATCATCACTGTCCGCATATAAATTATTCATATTTTCCGCATACAAACTCCTATCATCAACCAAAAAGTTCTAATCATTATTATTTCCACACTGAATATAGGTAGCATTTTCTTTTTGATTCAAATCAACAAGCCCCCAACAACTACTCATCTTAATAGAAGAGAAGTTTACACACAACCTCAAAAGTATTACAAACACTGCAATGAAAAAAACTAAATAATGCTTGTTGCCTCTTTCAAAGCTCTTCCTCCACAGAAATTTGACACAACCATATGTGCATTTCAAATCATACCATTTCGATTCATATATCAGAGAGACCTTTATCTCCGTAAATTTCTGGACGAACTTCATTGCTGCTATTAGACTTTTTATCTAGCAAAAAACAATTTCAAATGCACATTAACAATTCATAAGCAATCTCATAAGCAAGTACAAAAACAATTTCAAATGTGTATTATCAACGACTAATATATTTTCGTAACACCTTAATCAGCTAAATAGAACTCAACAGAGGTATCCTACTACTGTGTCACAATGCAAGTAATCATTTAACTATTGAAAGCATCACCATTATAGGTTGCAATTGTAAACAAAATATGAGACAGATATTGGAAAAAGGATGGCTTGCATAAGTACTCACATACTACCGCTAACACAGTCAATACTTGTTTTTTTATGGAAGCAATAGCTCTAATACTTCTCATGTGATCGATGCCTAGACCAAGGCAACATCTGCTTTATATCATCTACAAACACATAGGCCGCATACAGAGACAAGGAGACACAACAGACAAAGATTCTTAGTGTGTTATATAGTGCTTGGAATCTGTATGAATCAAAGTGATCAAGTTTCTATCAGTAGTGGAGAGGGGGAAAAACAAGCCCACGACTGCCTTATGGACAAATAGAGAAAACGAAACTTACAGTGTTGCCCTTGCTTCTAGTCACTATAAATATTCTTTTCACAACTTGATACACAGGTGTCAAGGCATAGAACAAACCAGTATGACTTGCCATGATATTACTTTCAATAGTACAAATCCTGTTTTTTTTTTCTTTCTTCATATATGATGTAGGACCATATCAAAAACTATGCCCCAATCAGATCAATAAATAACCATTACCATATCAAAACAATTTTAAAAAAATTTACAACTCTTGATGATGAACCAGGAAGCAGAGGAAAAGGAAAAAACAATACTCAAATCATATCAAAACTCAGTCCAGAACCCCCAAATCAAAGAACCATGGCCAAGATACTGAAACAACCATAACCCAGGATACCATACTTGTTTATCATTGAACAAATTCAAACAAATTTAGGCCATTTTTCTGCATTCCATAACCAATTCAAACAGTTATATTTGTTACCTTAACAACGATAAGTAAACCACCTAAATTTTTACAAACTCATTCTCTCTATTATTGCGTATTACCAAATTCGAATTCGAGCATACCATCATGCTCGGGACAACATGGGGAACATTCTAGAACCAAATGGGCCACCACCCCATGGCCCATGCGCCACCTCACGCACAGGCAGCACGTTCAATGACCAAAAAATTCTTGAAACACCAGACAATACCTACACCTATGTGTTCGTGACAACTAGGGGAGCAACTTCTGCTCTTGGGTCATGGCCAAAAAGTGGTCGGAGCTTGTAGGAAAATCAATCCAAAAACCTGTCAAAATTTTGGTTTTAGATTGAGCTTCAAAACATCAAAATCGATGCTAACCAACCCAACCATTAACTAGATCATGTTGAAAGGGTAAGAAAACATACCTGGATCGACAAACCGTGGCCAGATGTTTCATTGGAAACGGTGGCCAGACGAAGCCGGAATTGACGTCGGAAAAATGGGAGGAGAGAGAGAAAATTGTGGGAGGAGAGAGAGAGAGAGAGAGAGAGAGGAGCTGACTGGTTTTTAAAAATTTGACTTCGAAATATTTACGACTGTACCACTGCACTTCCGTTGCCCATAACTTCTTCATTAAAACTCCGATTTGAGCCCACTACGTGTCTACGAACTCGTATCGACGCACTCTAGGCAATTATACCACTCAAATCTCAAATATACTTACGGATCCAAAAGTGACCGTCATGACCTTACACCAAGGGCAAAATTGTAATTTGACAATTAAATAAATTAAATATATTTAAATAGATTTAATATATGGTTAAAATTGGGTCGGGGTGTTACAGAAAATCTCATAAGACAATGATAGAAATATCCAAAATCCAAAAAAACCAAATCCCTTGTTCAAATTTAAAAAACAAAACCAATATCACCCAATCCCAAAATCACCAAAGTCCGAAACCGAAATTCATATACTTTAATAATAATAATAATAATATTATTATTATTATTAAAATAATAATCTCTCGAAATCCCATATTACATTGTAAAAGCCGAGACTAGCCCAACAATAAAATCCCATAACCTAATTAACCCAAAATGAAGCAATTTCCAATCAAATCACATTTATGCAAGCAATTCCATATTTGAAAAACAAAGCACACTTAAAAACAAATGTCTGCTCACTACAAGTCTAATGCTGCTCAATCCTAAGAGAGCTCTTCCTCTGGAACAAGCGAAGCAAGAGTACCTATTCGAGAGAATAAACAAGCTTAATTAATAAACATATCCAACAACGAACTTAAACTCAAAACTCTAGTTCCTGAGTCTCGATAGGGTCATTCTATTACTTCCCGAAGGATGAGACGGTCTCGGAAGACTCAACGTCAACCTAGTAGTCAAACTTTCCATATTGGTTAATTGAGCTAGCAGGGCCCACAACCTCCAATTTTCGATCCAAAAGTTCCTATAGGTCCAACAAAGTCTACTGAACAAGTCCCGAAGGTTTGGTCTCAATTGAACAGTCAAATCTAAGCCAATCGCACGATCAGACGGCAATCGATTCGCTTAACCTTAGAATCCTTGACTCGAAGTATCCGGGACTCCGATTCCTGATTCGCAAGATCCTGCACGATCCTACAGGTACAGGGAACAACTTAATTGAAACTGGAACCAATCAAATGGTATGAACCTATCGAACCAGGATATCACATAATAGGCGCGATATCCGTTCAATAGTCAAATGGTAACCTATCGCTAATCCGAGCATACCGTCATACTCATGAAAACATGGGGAGTGTTTTAGAACATAATGGGCAACCACAAAGTGGTCCATGCACCGCCACCCGCACCAGCAACGTGTGGATGCCTTGAGTAATTTTCAGCGACCTAAAAATTCCAAATCGCTGGTCAATACCCATACCACCATGTCAAACACAAATAAGGAAAAAACTTTTGGTCTTGGACCAGGGCCAAAAATTGACCGGAACTATCAAAGCAGAAACTGTCAACTAAAATGGGTATATTGAACAATCTGTAAAATCTCAAAATCGATCCAAGATACCTATTCTAACAGCTAGAGCACGTCAATGGGATGAAGATCCATACCTTGGTTGACCGAAACAGTCGCCAAAATCGCCAAAAACGGCGTCGAAAATCTGCCAAAAATTACAATCGTTACAATCACTAAACGTAAGATTTTTGAGCTAGGAAAAGGGATGGGTTGAGTATAGGAGAGATATGTGAGAATTTTGGCAAAAGTTTCGTGGAATTTGTTCATCGGACGACGACGAATTCGCCGACTGAAACGGCTGCCTTGGAGCATAAGAGAGAGAGAGAGAGAGAGAGAGAGAGAGAGAGCTAACCAATTGTTTTAAATCCAACTTTAGAAAAATTACAGTTGTGCCTCTGCACTTATGTAGACCACAACTTCTTCGTTTTAACTCCGAAAATTGAACCCACTATGTGCCTACGAACTCGTGAGAGTGAGCTCTATGCAATGGTGCTACTCATTTCCCCAAAATCCTTCCGGATTAAAAAGTGACTAAAGTGACCCTACCCTAAAGGGCAAAATTGTAAATTCACAAATAAAAATTAGACAAAGACATTTAAATTGGGTCGGCGTGTTACACCTTCACTCATGTTGAGGAGGTTTGATGGTTCTCTTGGACCTAGCTATAGATGATGACTCCACTTGAACTTAAGCCTCTTCTTCTTCTTCATCTTGAGTTTGTTATTGTTGCCCAAATTCTTCCACCTCAATCTTCTGTTGGCTACATACTTGAAGTTTCCCTTAATACCCTACTTGGTGAAATTGTAACGATTGTATTTGTTTCAACAACATCTCCTTCACCTCCGCTTTCTTGACTTTGATCATAGGCATGGTCTTCTTATCAAAAGTATTTCCTTCTGATTCACTGGATCCTATAACTTGAAACTTTTCACACCGCTCTCAAAGCTGAGGAATATGCACTCAAGAGCCTTTGGTTTCAACTTGGTTCTCTCATCATTAGGTATGAGACCATATCTCTTCTACAAACTTAAAATCAAGATACTTCGATGGCGATCAGTTAACCAAATAAGAAGCGTGGTTAACTGCCTTAGCCCAAAATCCTTAGGCAAGCTAGCATGAATCCTCATGCACCTCTCACAGTCCATGAGAGTTCTATTCATCCACCTCACGACTCCATTTTGTTGGGGCATATTCTTCATAGTAAAATGCCTCTTGACACCCTCGCTCTTGCAAAACTCCAGAAATTTGCTATCTTTATATCCTCCTCCACTGTCACTTCTTAGAATTTTGATCTTCCTTCCCATAAGGTTTTCTACTTCCGCCTTCCACTCCTTGAATTTGGTGAAGACCTCAGATTTCTCTTTCATGAAATAAACTCAAACCTTCCGAGAAAAATCATCTAAGAATGTGACGTAGTAGCGAGCTCCACCAAATGACTTGACCGGAGCAAGCCCCACATTTCCAAGTGAATATAATCGAGCACCCCTATGCTCATATTCTCTTTGTCTTGCTACTTGAATGTCACCTTCGACTGCTTCCCCATGGTACATAATTTACAAAACTCAAGCTTACAACTGTGCACTCCCTTCATAAGCTTCCATTTGTGCAACTCTTGCATGGCTCACTCACTCATGTGCCTTAGCCTCAAGTGCCAACGCTGAGTATCCTTTGAGTCATTCTTAATAGATATATTTGTTTTACCAGTCATCGTTGTACTACATAGTCGATACAGGCAGTTAGGTTGAATCTCTTCCTTCATAACCATAAGTGAACCTTTGAGATTATGAGCTTCCCTCCCTTGGCTTTGTAGGAATAGCCATTCTTGTCAAACGTACCGAGGGAGATGAGATTCTTCTTCAACTTTGGTATGTACCTAACCATACCCAATGTCCTAACCACGCCATCATGCATCTTCACCTTGATTGTACCTATTCCTTCTACTCTACAAACTGAGTCGTCCCCTATCATAAATTCGATGTCGTGGTCCACATCATATGTGTCAAACCAAGATTTTTTGAACACATATGATATGAGCACCTGAAATCCAAAATACAATCAGAAGATGAAACCCTAGAAGAGATAGCAAGTGCATCAGTATTAACAATGCTATCAGTAAATAAAAGCTCACCATCGCTATCCTCTGCGACTCCAGCTTCATCCAGCTTCTTCCCTTTGTTTCTCTTCTCTCTCCATGTAGGACAATTCTTCTTCCAATGATCTTTTGACCCACATTTAAAACAATCGTCTTTAAATTTGGATTTTGATCTTCCCCTATTGTTCTTCTTGCCATCACGCTTTCTGAATGAACCTCTCTTCCAGACTTTCCTACAAGCCTTTCACCTTGAGAGACAACTTCGGAATGTTGAACCATTCTGTCATTCGTCAAGATGTCTTGCATGACCTTTTCATGCTTCAAGGTTCTCTTCCCGAACATAAGCATCATCCGCAAATGTTTATAAGACGATGGTAGGTATGTCAATAACATCATAGCCTTCTGTTCAGATTTATAAACCTTATCCATCCTCTGCAAGTCATCAATACACCTATTAAAAGCGCTCAGGTGCTTCATCATGCTTACGCCCTCCTCCTTCTTTAGAGAGTGAAGCTCTTCCTTCAAGAAGAGCTTGTTGGACAACGATTTGGCCACGAATATCTCTTCTAGTTTCTCTCCCATGTCTGCTTTGTGGTGTCTTCCATCGCATTACACAACACCTCGTCGGTTAGATGTTGTTCAATGGATCCTCTAGCAAGCTTGTCCAGGTCCTCCCAATCCGCATCTGTCATGGTTGTTGGCTTCTTTTCTTTGCCTCCCAAGACTTTGCTTAGACCTTGTTGTTTAAGGACATGCTTCATCCTTCTTTGCCAAAGCGTGAAGTTCTCCTTGCTGGTGAATGGCTTTAACTCAATCTTGGTACTTGATACACGTGGTGATTTAGTACTGGAACTTTCTTCATCCTTGTTGCCTGCCATCGTTAACACATAGCCACTCTTAAAGTTGTAAACCGCAACCGCGACTCTGATACCACTTGTTGTGCAAAAACACTCCAAGACCTCGTTGATGGACTATGCAACTATCACACACAACCCACGCAAAGATAAAGCGCACACAAAACCACGAAGTAAACACGCACACAAAAGACAAAAGAATTTATAGAGGTTCAGCAAGCTTACATCCTCTTGGTAATCCCTAAGAAATTCACTAGTATGGAATAACCCCTTTGATCTCTCACAAACCTTTGCTCTATTTTCTCTCACCCTTGGTTTAAACCCAATTTGATGCCTTAGCTTTCTCATGTTACAATAACCTAGCACTAAATTGCATATTTATATGTCATAGGGCTTTGGTACAATTATAGAAGGAATATGAAACTTAAGGGACACCAAAATTAGGAGAAAATCTGTCCAAATTTGCTAGGGATATGTGATGGATTAGCATGTCCCGCTCAAGCACCTATGTCCGCTTGAGTTTGAGCTCTGCCGCTCAAGCAGGCGCCCGAGCACCTGTGTCTAGGCGAGAAGTACCACTCTGCTACTCGAGCGCCTATAGTTTCTGCTCGAGCGGCAAAGCCCAGTCAAAACTACTATAGCTCTGTTGATCATCTATTTCCTTCACTCCTTCCACATCTTTAAGTGAAGCAACATCAACATTGTTCACTAAATGACGCCACTTGTGCAAAGGAAAGATGCAACTGCACTTAGTTCAATTGTATCGGATGCAACCTTTCATACTTAAAGAAAACAATTATTTTCATTCACACATTAAAAATTAAATATTATAATATCTAATAAATATTATAATATTAAATTTCCAACAAACTACAACCACACTCTCTGGAGCAAAAATCTGGGATATTCACGCGAACACCACGTACAATGCAAATTCCTTAGCCGTCTCGAATCCTCGTCGTTGTTCGCATCTAGACCGCCCTCAAACTCGATTGTCCCAACACGACTTGCGCTCTGCTTCGTCTAGGCGTTGGTCAATTGAAGTCGACAGTAGGCGCTGGAGTGAGCTATTGGATCCCAAAGGTGGTCTTCTTGTGCTGGGCATGATGGTTGGTTGAGAAGGAAGAAGATAATGTTGATGTAGTCATTGAGCGATTGGGATCACTTGAGGGTGTCCTAAGTGTTTTTTGGCAGTCAATGGATCTGAGAGGAGAGAGATGATGGTGGGAGTATGAAAAATATCAAAGGCAGAATAGCAAGAAAATAGTATGCATTCGATTGACTGTGGAACTTTTTTTCGCTACAGGACTCAGAAATGTTGGAAGAGTTGAGGTTGGGGTTTTAATTATCTAAGTTCTTTATTATTTGAATATGAATATTTGTAAGGGAGATTCACTATAATACCCAATATTGGAGCCCAAATTATAAAAAAAAAAAACCCTATATGAAATGGACTTTAGAAACACACCCAAAGCCCATTTACAACATAACAATAAGACTTTTAACTTCTTTTAAATTACAAACTGTCATTGATTTCTTAAAACAAACCCAACCTAAAAACCTCATAAAAAGCCCAAAACACTTAATGGGGCATCAAAGTAATTTAATAATTAAAATTAAATTTAATAAGGCAAGCTATCATTTTTTGAGTTTTTTTTTTTTGTATGTTTATAGAAATTAAATAGTGTATGGTTTATTTATAGTTTTAGTGCTAAGAATGGGTATTTGACTAAATATCTCTATTTGTAATCATTACAATTTAATTAATTGATTTTAAAAAAATTCTTTCAATTTTAACGGAATTTGGATGGAAATATCACATTGACTAACGGATACAAACATAAAGATCAAATTGGCCAAATTAATAACACGAGAACTAAATTGGCCGATAAAGAAGGGAAAACACAGGGACCATTTTGATATTTAAGATATTTAAGCCTTACTAAAATGCATTTACCAACCCTACCCACAAGGTTATAGTTGGTTTACAAGTAACCTTGTTGTACAAGTCTACAAATACAGTTGAAACTGTAAGGGCATGTTTGGTAGGCCATCAACTACCACCAACCAGAGAGAAAGCGTTGTTCTTGTTGAGGGCGCTGAATGGTTTTCGGTACTCTTCTCCTCCTCCTCTTCATGTTGCCTCTTCTGCTTTGCCAGTTCAAGCATCAAAACGCATCCATTTGCAAAGCTTCTCTCGAAATCACTGCAAACACGCAAGCCTTGGCTTTCTAAACTCATAAAGGTGATGAACGCACCGATAATGGGTCAGCCTCTCTTTCCCGCTCTTGATAGTTCACTTCGAATTGAAGAATTTGCTTTTTATTTTCCTTAAATGGGTTTTGGAATAAAATCAAATTAAAGTGTGAAATTCATTAATTATAAATTGTATTTGGGGAAGACCCATTGCCAGGAGATTTCCCAGAAGTGATAGAGGAGTATTTAGAACATGGGGTTATGAAATGCATTGCCATCCCCATAAGATGTTTTTTCAAAACATTTTTTCTTCATTAGAAATTAAGTGCTTTGGGCAATGTGGCTATGTGGTATTTCGAAAGTTGTGATTTTCTGTTTGTATTTCTTTTAGTTTTGTCCTGCTGTTTATGGGGTCCTTTTTGCTGAATAAATTGCTTATTCAAAATTAAAAGGAAGGCTGTAAATTTGGTTGCACATTGGGGTATAGAAACACCATTGCCAGTTTATACAGCACTCACTTGTTCTTCTTCCACAATTTGTACTTTTGAAACTAATATATAAGGAGTTGAATCCACAATTTGTAACAAAGTGGAACTGCTAGCTATTCCAGAAAGTTGGAATTTTTTTATGGTTTCGTTTTCAGTTAGGTCTCTGCGTTAATACGCTACACGAGCCTTACTTTTAACTAATTGATTCTTTAATTTCTCCTTCACACTTTTATTGAAGAACACATAAACTACAGGCATTTCTTATTAATCGTCTTGCTAGCCAAGGATATAAACGAAACCCCATTTACATAGATTTCTCCTGGAGATAGGAGGTGCTATGGCCAATTTCTAGTTAAGCATTTCTAAATTCTTTTTTATGGACAATGTTTCATGTTATCGAAGGAAACTTTGTACTAATTTTTCAGGTGCTGTGGAGGTCAATATCTGTAATCAAATGAGAAAAAGATATTGGCCGGGCTTAGTTCATGGTTTTTCCAGAGGACCATAAGCTGTAGGAAGCAGACGCCCCAAGTGCCAGAAGAACAAGAACTGCTGCTCCCATATTGATCAACATCTGCTTCTCTTCATCATTCACCCCCTTTCCTAGATTTCTCATGCCCTCCTTCGCAGCAGCCATCACATTTGCAGCAATGGAATCCTCCTCTGTACGCTTCTCTCGGTCAACATCGCTCCCAGAACTCTTGCTCTTTCTCTTTGCTTTTTCTAAAATCTTTGGGACAGCCCCTGCTTCTTTGCTTCTCTCATTGGCCTCTCTTTCCTTCTGCAGACTGGTTTCAGCAACTCTCTCAGCATTCTTTGGTTCTGTTGGCTTCCCTTTTGCTTCACTCTGATCCCTTCGATCAACATGCTCAGCAGTGAACTCCACCCTCTTTTCGTCAATTCTTTTTGGAGGAATTTCATCCTTACCCTTTTGAGACTTAGATTCGCTTATGCCTCTTTCAGGACTAGTCAAAGGTATCACCCTCTTCTCATCCCTTTGTTTCTCATTCTGGATTGCTGGATTTGCTTTTGGAAGGGCCTCATCCTTATCCTTGTGTACTTCTGTCTCAGCAGCGATTTTCGGAAGGCCTAATGGATGACCCCCATTCTTGTCATCCCTTTCTTTTTCATCTCTGGCACTAAAAGTAGATTTTTGTGCCTTTGGCTCAGCAGCAGCTTCCTGAGGGCCTGCAGTTGGAGTTTTTGAAGGGGTCGGTGGTGCTTGTTGGCTTGGTTTGGCTACTTCTTTAGGGCCAACTTGAGTGATGCCTAGCTTTGGTATTGTAATGGTAAGAATATGATTGCTGAATTTGCCATGAATTTTACTCACGTCGCAATTTTCTTGAATAGGGAAGGTTTGGTTGAAACGGCTCCATTTGTTATTGCCAAGAGGCCGTTGTCCATCAACCTTAATCACACCAGGGGAAGCGGCAAATGTAATCCTTACTTGCTCCTTCACAAAACCTGAAAACACAAACAAATTGAAAGTGACATATAACGTAACATGTATAGGAATTTTATGCTAGTAGCTCTGCAAAATTATAAGTTGCTCTTTAAAATACAAAATTCGCCTATAATCTTACAATTTATGGGTGCATCTAAATTCTTCTTTATGAATGTATCTGAATCAATATGAATCAAACAAGTGTTCCAACTTAACAAAGTACACACAAAAGCATTGAAACTTTTTTCGCAATTAGCTTTTGGAAACTTAACTTTTTGAACTTTGCTAGTTTTCACAAAAACCTGTTCTTTTTTTTTCTTTTTTATTTTATTACAGAAGGCGATATTCTATTCGGGAGATTAACTATTATACCCAATATAGGAGCCCAAATTATAAAATAAAAAACCTTATATGAAATGGAATTTAGAAACACATTCAAAGCTCATTTATAATATAATAAAAAGGCTTTTAACTTCTTTAAAATTACAAAACTGTCGTTGATTTTTCAAAATAAACGCATCAAAGTAATTTAATAATTACAATTAAATTCAATAGGGCAAGTTGTCATTTTTTGGGGTTTTTTTATATAAATTAAATAGTGTATGGTTTATTTATAATTTTAGTGCTAAGAATAGATATATGACTTATCTCTATTCTAACCTACTTTAATGTACTAGGAGGGAGATCTAACTTGGTTTAGGGGGTGGGAACACTACCTCGCCCAACTGACCTAACCCATATCTACCCATGAACATTGTGTATTCTCTTTACAAAATGAGTGATAAAGTTGGGTAAAAGTACAGACCAGGCAGATGAACATGTATAACGTGAGCTTCCTGCTCTTCCTTCAATTCAAAGTGGGGCTTGAAATCTTCATAAATTGAACGAGACGATAGTCTTGGACGGGTACTAGAGATTCCACCAAAACGTTGCCTCATTGCCATCTCTCTCTCTCTTGCCTTTTGTTGATTTGATTTTCTCGTATACCTTATGATTGCCTTTGGATTGTAGAAAATGTTTGCCATGTGTCGCATTTTATATATGCAACAATTTTTGAGACAAGTGTGTTGATTGTTTGTTTGGGTTTTCTTATTAATGAAATTATTCCTTTCTAGTTGCTTTGGTTTTGTGGTGTTTTACAATTTTAAGTGTCCCTTGGTCATGTACGAGGTATAACGTCTCATGCAAACAAATATAAAGTTGGGTTGGTTACCCACCAAATAGGGATTCTCTAGTTTATTCTGAAAACCTATGTTGTACATTTCACAACCAAAATTTTTTTAGTCATGTTTCTTCTATATTTTATCATCATTTCTTTAATTGTTTGTTTTAATTAAAAGCAATAAACCCTTTCTCTCTCCCTCATTCAATTGTTTGTCCTCCAATTATTTACCTCGCTACTTTCTTCAGTAATAGCATCTTGCTTGCTTCAATGGAGGATGAAGTTCATGCGCATGTTAACTTATGAGGGATGAACTTCAGTTCAATAGGACGAGTACCCAGACTTTTGGCCGGGTTTATTGAAAAATTCTTAGACGTGATGTCAATCCAAAATTCTTCAAATAAAGAAGTTTGTTGCTCAAGTGGTTAGTTATCCACAAACACAAGGTTATATGTTCGATTTTCCCATATCTTAATATCGCTTGTACGAAAAGCAAAGACCAAAAATTACTTCATGTTGGAATGAACTTTTGGAGTTTACTGAGTTCAAGCCGACTTCAGATTGAGATTTACTTTGGGCTTCTTTTCTGTTTTTGTTTTTGTTTTTGAACGGAAGATTTTACTTTGGGCTAGACAATGGATTTGAGGTTTCATGCCAGTTTTACGCTACCGTCTAGGTTTCACTAATTATGATGGGCACTCCCGACTTTTAACATAAATTGCCTTTTTTTAAACTTTCGTCCAAGCAAGAAAATGACATTCTTACCCTCATCATTTAGAGAAAATATATCTTAATAAGAAATTCTAGGATTCCTCCTTGGGCAAATGCAGACGTCTTTTCGCTGGTCTATATATCATCACCACTTGCCAAAAACAAAAAGCGAAAGCCCTAGACAATAAGAAATCAAAAACTCTAAAATTGATTTAAAATAAAACCCTTTACTCACCTAAAAAATGAGTCAAATGCTAATTATAAAATTAAATCTTAAACAAAAGTTAGAAACCATCAATTTAAGTGTAATTAAATATTGGGAGTTTCACTAAAACACCCAAAATGGGGGTTGAAATTATAAAAAACCCAAGCACTATTTAAACATATAAACACACCCAAAATCCATCATTACACACACTTAAAACCCATTTATAAACACACCCAAAAAGTTGACTTTGGGATTGATTTTGGGTGTGTTTCTATGTTTAAATAGTGCTTGAGTTTTTTTATAAATACATGTCTAGGATTGTTATTTATAAATTTGTATTAAATATTTTCACAAAATTTCATTTTGACCTTCTAAATATTAATTTTTTTTCTTTATTCAGAGAGGCTTGTTTATTTTAACAAAAATAACTTTTTCTATGATTTAGATCAAAACATTTTTCTTAATGTAAGATGTAATTTTATATGCTTTTAGAAATTGATGGATTAATTTTAGGCTTATTAAAAAAAATTCTCCGCAAATGATTCAGATGATAAAAATGTTATTTTCAAATAAAAATTGGGCAGAAAATAAAGTTTACTAGAAAATTTGTTGCTCACTGATATTACTTGATTATATCATGTGACGATATTTCATTATCAAATGATATTTTTTACAGAGTAGGTGGAGCATAATTAATGAAAGTAGATTCCCATGATGGTAGAAAATTTCCTTTAATTGCATGTTTACTAATCCATAAATCGGATTGGGAGGAATTGAATTGAGGAGGAGTTGGATTGAGGAGAATTAGATTCCGGTTTTCCATTGAAGTTGTTTACTAAACCATATGAATTTAGGAGAGTTAGATCATGGATCCCTATTGAAGTTGTTTACTAAAAAACCATATGGAATTGGGACATGAATGGTTCTAATTACTAAAATGTCCTCGTTGTTGGGTTAAAATAGATGGCAAATTTGGAATTTTTAAAATTGTGTGAAGATATAATGGGTAAGAAAAGATGAATTTCTAATGGGTTAGTTCTCCAAAAATTAGAATACCACCTCCCACCCTAGAATTGAATTCCTTCAAAATCAAGAATAACCCCACTTACTTTTTAATTCCTTGATGTGAAGTAAACATAGGAATCCCTTATTCGAATTTCAATTCATAATTAGTAAACACACTAGAAGTGTCAATAAGATTTAATTCTAGATAATGTGTACTTTTGGTAAAATCATGAGTAGGTAGGGTGATAAAAATGTAATTATGATGTTTAAACCAGAGAAAGGCACCATGTAGTTTACATTCAATAGCAAAAGATATTTGGCAAGTATTGGGAAAGTTCTCACAAGTCTCAATTACTCACATTTACAAAGGAGCCAACATGTTAGCTGATTTTTATCCAAAAAAGGAACAGTACTACAATCATTCATGTATTTGGTTTAGTAATTTTCCTTTAGATATTATTACTGGAGTGTGCTTTGACTTGTATGATATTAAGATTCTTAGGGGATTTAACTTTTAAGATACTTCTGTTTTAAAAAAAAAAAAAAAAAAAAAAGATAATTAAAACTAGAAAAAGCCACAACTGCAAAAGTCCAGCCTCACACACACAATAGAAAATGGTCTTGGTTTACATATCAGTGATCTCACGTTTGAAACTCCATGATACCTTGATAGTGTGTGTGTGTGTGAGAGAGAGAGAAACTCCTTCCCCTTTCTAATTGTGCCAAAAAAAATAGAATAATAATAAAAACATTTTTTAATGTAAGATGTAATACTGTATGCTTTTAGAAATTGATGGATTCATTTTAGGCTTGTAAAAAAATTATGGATTTTGCATTTCAATCCTTTTTATGTGGAGTAAACACAGGAGTGAGGGTGAGCACGGTTCGGTTTGGTCAGGTTTTCTCCTCTAATTAAAACCAAAATCAGAACTTATACACAATCTGGTTCGGTTCGGTTTTAATAGAAAGTGTCTAGAAGAACCAAACTCAATAAAACCTATGCGATTCCGGTTCAGTTCAGCTCGATTTTCAGGTTGGAAAGATAAAAATATAAAGATGTGAAGAGGAGAGAAATAGGATTTATAGAAAAATAGGAAGAAAAGAAAAATATGTACAATGGATAAAATAAGAAAGAAAGAGGTAGAAAAATAAAGAGGAAGAGAAATAGAAAGAAATAGGTGGGAAAGAGAGAAAGACGGAATTGCAACAAGAATGGATATGGTTAACCGAAAATAAAACGATATTAGGCTAGAGTAATTATTTACGTGGGTATAAATTGAAACTAAGATATTTGGGTATTAATTGGGCTAAAATATTTAGATATTACTTTGGAGTTACTAATGATTTTGAATATAAATGAGTAAGTAAACTTAACATATTCGGTCTGGTTCGATTTATACTCGTTTTTCAAGACAAGAATTAGGATGGGAACCAATCCAAAGTGGGCCTGTTCTGTTTTTTGAGCCTAGGTTGACTTTTTTTTTGTCAACGTAGTTTTTTTTCCCATTTTGTTTGACTCGATTTGGCTTGGTTTACCAGTTCATCAGTTCAAATGTCCACCCTTACACAGAAGTAATAATTAGAATTCAATGGAAAAGGGTATTGACTCGCAAACTAATGGTCTTGAGTTCAAATCCCTAAGACCATCTCCAACCCTTGAGGTGGAAACTCAAATTTTGAGTTTAGCCTCCAAATACCATCTCCAACCCATGTATTTTGGGGGGTGGAAATTTGAGAAATCTCAAATCTTGGGTGGAATTCCAGTCCCTTTTTTGCCTGGACTGATAATTTTGTGGGCCCAAAATCTGCTTTTTTTATTATTTTTTTTCTGACTGAAGCCCATGTGCTGCACAATGTTTGCTGGGCCCAGTTTTGGTTACACTGTTTGGGCAGCAA